TTTGTCAAATTCACTATTTAAAAGATTATCCCTTAACCTATTCACATATAAAACATTATGCAATATCTATTATCGAGATTAAGTGCATATGCATAAAATTTTAAAAATGTTATGTATTAAAAATTTGATATCAATTATTAGAGAGATATCATTTATAACTTGAATTACTTGCATAAACATTAAAAATTTTAAGGTCAAAAATTTATAAAATCAAATTATTTATCATTTGCATTAAAACCAATTTTGACCAAAATTTTATTATGATGAAAAAATCATTAAAACTTAAAAATGTTCATCATAAAATCTTTTTAACATACATGAGATTAAAATGCATAATTATTTAAAATAAAAACTCATGCATGATTTAAATCAAATGAGCAACCAAATAATCAAAATTAAAATCATTAAGCTTAAAGGTTACTCATTCCTTTTTCATGTGTGGCTAGAGCATCTTGAGTATCATAACCTTCATCACCATTGCTCCCACACACCTATAAGTGACATTTAAGTAGATTTTGGTATCCAAATTGCTTTGGATCCTTGAACGTTAGTTTTAATGCCCCTTATTCCTTTTGGAACCCATACTTGTCTAATTTTAAATTGTTTTCATTCCTTTAAAGGACAAGTATGTTCCTTATGACCATGATAATAACAATGTGAGCATATTGTCATCATTGAACTAGATGAATTATTTAAAATGATCACTTTTTCTTTTGTTAAGCGTTCAAGCTTAACTTTCAAATCGAAATTTTATTTTTCAATACTTTCAAATTTCATTTTTGAAAGTTCTAAATCCTTCTTCAATATTTCATTTTAATTTTCAAAATCCATTTTAGTTTCTAGAAGAAGTTTGTTTAATTCGAAAATTCAAAGTTTTCAGATTTCATTTTTGAAAGCTCTAACTCTTTTTTTTCAATATTTCATTCTGATTTTCCAAGTCTATCTTAGCTTTCAAAAGAAGATCATTTTTAGCTAGAAATTTAGAAATCAATTTCTTATATTCGCAGTTCATGGTCTCAAACTCCGAAAATAATTCATCATAGGCATCTTGTAACTCATTAAAAAATGTGAATCTAATTTATTTGAGTTTGAAGATACCTCGGGCTCTTCTAGAGCTAATAGAGACATCACGTTATTTGTTCTTCTTTCTCGTCTCTATAGATTTCCTCAAGCTTATCCCACATCTCCTTGGCATTTGAACAAGAAGAAACTCCTTTATAGATATCTGGATCAATTGCACAACATAACATGTGCATAGCCTTTGTGTTTTGTTGAGCTTTCTTCCGTTCTTGATCACCCCACTTCTTTGCCTTCTTAGTAGGTGAGACATATCCTTTCTTGATTATCATGCAAGCTTCAAGATCATGTGCTTGTATAAATATCATCATTAACCTCTTTCAATGACGATAGTTTGTTCCATTGAAGTAAGGAGGCACGTCAATTGGTTGTGAGTCTTCCATGGAGAATGAACCAGAAGTGGACGCCATCTTTATCGATTTAACTTTTCCCGAATTGACTCAAGAGGTGGTTAAACCTTCAAATTAGTGTGGCTCTGATACCAGTTGTTGAGTTAATCGATCGATGAAATAGCCAAGAGGGGGTGAATTGACAATTAAAATTTTGGTGAAAGCTTTTGCAGAAAATTGAAAAAATTTGCACAACGATTTAGAGTGGTTCGACTTTCTCAACTAAAGTCTACGTCCACTACCTTAACTATCCACACTAAGGATTTTCCAACAAATACACTAATTTATTCTTTTTTTAGGACAAAGAGTAACCTTACAACTCCCTCAAGAATTATACTCCAAATTCTTGAGAACATTCTCTCCCAAAGAGAAGAATACAAATTTCGCAAACTTACAGAAAAACCTCACAAGGTAAGATGTTTACACAATTCTATAATAAAGAAAGAACACTCAAGAATGAATATAATTGAGTACAAATGGTGTTCTTGAAAGAAAATTGAACATTGAATGAAAATAGGCTTGAAATGCTCAAACTTGATGTTTGATGCTTTTTCTTTTTCTCTAGCTTCTCTTCTTAATTGTTGTTGATCAGTGGCTTCAGAACTTGTTTATATACACCTTGGATCACTTATGAATGTTGGGTATCATTGGTGAAATCAATAGAGCCGTTATGGTGTAATTATCTTTTAAAAATTCTGTTGGGAGCGTAGGTGTATCGGTACACTCTCAAGGTGTATCGCTACACTCAATGTAAAATTCAAATATTTCGACTGTTAGTTGACCTAGTGTATCGGTACATCCCAGGTGTATCAGTACACTAATTACATTTGATGTTTCTTGGAGCCAGGAGTGTATCGATGCATCGGTTGTGTATCGGTACACAAAATACATTCGAAGTTGGGTGTATATCGATACATCTAAGAGTGTATCGGTACATCCCTTTGTAAAAATTATTTTTGGCTCGAGTAAGGTTCGAAATGCTTTGTAAAAATTGTTTCAAAAATATTTTAAGACTAAAACACAATTTTACACTTAAGTAAGGATTAAAATTGATATTTGAAAGCTTAGAGTAATATTTTTTGATATTCGAATAATTTAATCGAATATATAATTTAAAATTGAATAAAATCTTAAAATTCAATAATGTTTTATTTGTTATATTGAAACATCAAAATGTTTTCAACATAATTGTTAGTGCATTAGAATATATATGCATCATATATATAATTGAGAGCTTATGATGAATTTCGAATGAAAACATCTTCTTAATCCTTTATTCTTCTCTAAAATCTAAAACTTCCGTTTTTCATCCTAAGTTTGTGACATAAACCTCCTCAATAAAGTCCAGGAGCCCATTCGATAAATTCCAGGAGCTTCTTTTGACGGATTCCAGAAGCTCCCTCAACGAATTCCAAGAGCCCCCTCGATAGATGGAGATCGTCACCGACTCACCCTACAAGGCACACTCATTTAAGTTTTCTGCCACTCGCAGTCACCGACAGCATGAAAAAAAAGATGTAGATTTGTTTTTTTTTGTAATTTCAAAGAATTTAGATTTTTTTTATAAAAACTAATTTTTAAGTGTTTTTATTAAAAATATTTTTTTAAAAAAATATAAATACGACATTTGTCACTTAACATATTTTTTTAACAATCGTTACAGTTGAGGTACTTAAAATGATAACATTTGTACCTGGATTGATAAAAAATAATTAAGTACCAAAATAAAAAAAAAATTGGATATTTATATTAAGCCTAAAAAAATAAATCCTAAAAAACACTACTAGATTCTACGTAGGGATGGGCATGTGTTGGGTTTGGGTCGGGTTTCGGCCAACCCGATCCGATTCGAAAAATATATGCCCTCTACCCGACTCGAATCCGACCTAATTTTTTAAGATAAAATCCGAACCTGATCCGACCTAAAATAATAAAAATATTATTTTTATTCAATAAAAACAGTGATTTAATTGAAAATAAATAATATATAGAGGGGTATTATTGTAATTATTCATAAATATATAAGGTAAAATTATATTTTTTTTTGGATCGGGTCAGGTATTTTCACTCTAAAACCGAATCCGACCCGACCCGAACATCATCTTTAAAAAACCCGATCTAACTCGACCCGAACCCAAAATTTAAAAAAAATCTTACCTAATCAAATCGGATCTAATTAAAATCCGTCGAATTTAGGTCCCATATCCCTCCTTAATTCTACGTCATCGTGATCATAAGTTTGAGTCGCCTAATTATCTAACAATTTGAACATGGTTGTTAAAATATAAAGGTTCAATTATTCTGTCAGTCCATGGACTCTTTTAAATTGAAATGTTGTCTCTTATTTTCAAATCTACGAATTTAATCCCTTTATTTATCAAGATTAGAAAAAAGAAAGAAGATTGACTAAATTTTAAAAGGTATAATGTCAAAATTAACCTCTAACGTTTACTAAAATAGTCATTTTAGCTTTTATTCTTTTTTGAAGTATTTTGGCTTCTAAGGTTTTATTTTAGGGTAAAAAATCCTCTATGTGGATAGAAATTGTTAGTTAGCATACTGTTAACGCTCTAAAATAAGAATTATTTACCCTAAAATGAAATATTAAGGATGAAAATGCTCTAAAAAAGGATAACAACCAAAATGACTATTCTATCAAATATTATAGATTTTTTTGTCCTAAAATAAAACGTTAGAGGCAAAATGTTCCAAACAAAAGAATAGGGCCAAGATGATAATTTTGATGGATATTGGGGGCTAATTTTGATATTATGCCATTTTAAAATTATAAAGCATACAGGGACTGAAGGCGCAATAATACCAATACAAAAGAATACCACAGAATCAGAACTCCCTAATAAAATATCCAAGAATAATGGTGACAACAGAACACGTTTTCAGGTTGTAGTATGAATACATTGCAGTGTTCTTAGCCACAGAATCCATGAACATGGTAACCCCACCAATTGCATCGTTGTAATCACTAAATTTCTTGATTTTGATTCACAATCTCCAATCCAATTCTCTCTCTCTTCCCTTCGATTTTCCACCATTAATTCTTCCATTCTTGTATCTTCCATTGATTCCAAGCTTTGCTTAGCTTTTTTCCAATTACATCACCTACATTTCCCACCACTGTTTTCTCTCTTATCTCCTCCTATCTTCTCTTAAATCCCATATTTTCCCCAGAATTATTTTCTTTTCCTCCCCTATTTTCTTAGGAAAAAAATACTAGAAAGCAAACTTTTTTAAGGTATACCCAGACCCTGTTCACTTTTTGGCTTCAGTTTTTCATCGTTTTAACAAGACTTTAAACTCTGGATTTCTCTTGAATTTCTGAATAACCTCTGTTCTATTACTTGGTTGTTTGTTTCTCAGGAAAAGAAAAAGAGAACTTTTTTACTTCTTGGGGGTCCAGTTTTTCATCATTTTGTCAAGGTTTTGAACTATGGGTTCCTCTTGAATTTCTGAAACAAGGAGAAATATTTGGTTTGGAGTGTGATTTCAATCAAAAGTTCCAAGTTTTACTGAGAAAACAAAATGAAAATCCATTGCGATGTTTGCGAGAGAGCACCGGCAACAGTGATATGTTGTGCAGATGAGGCTGCACTTTGTGCTAAATGTGATATTGAAGTTCATGCAGCTAACAAGCTTGCAAGCAAACACCAAAGGCTTCTCCTTCAGTGCCTTTCCGACAGGCTTCCTCCTTGTGATATTTGCCAGGTACAAAAGTTCACTTTTCTGGTTCATTTCATGAATTTTTTTCATATGTTTTGTAATCTTATATATCACTACCATTACTAGATCCGAACATAGTACTCGTAGTATCTTTTTTTTAAGGTCATCCGATAATATAACCGCATCAATTGAAAAACATAGTTATTTTTAAGAAACAAATCTAATTGTAAGTCCACAACCGTAATTTAGTACTATGGATCTGAATCCTCCTAACATGCTGAGTTTGAATGTTGTAACATATGCTGTGAATCTTGGGGTAATATCTGTTTTTATCTTGTGCATATATGTTATACAGGACAAAGCAGCTTTCATCTTTTGTGTTGAAGATAGAGCCCTTTTTTGCCGAGATTGCGACGAACAGATCCACCCGGCCGGCAGCCTTGCAGCGAATCATCAAAGGTTCCTCGCTACCGGAATCCGAATCGCCTTGAGTTCAAGTTGCAATAAAAAGACTGAAAACTATGTGTTGGAGCCACCCAACAAGAGTGCACCTCAGACTTCAATGAAAACGCCTCCACATCATCAACACTCAAGCTTTGCTTCCTCTTGGGCTGTTGATGATCTGTTAGAACTCTCGGATATTCAATCTCTAAACAAGGTGAGAAACTATTCGATTCGAGTTCGATTGAATTTATATTGGTCTTCCTATAATGTTTAATTTTCCTTGTGTTATTGCAGAAAGAACAGTCTGAGCTTGGAGAGCTTGAATGGCTAGCAGACATCGGTCTTTTCGGTGATCAATTGCCTCAGGAGGCTTTATCTAGGATGAGGTTGGTGTATGTGATCAAACTATATGTTTATAGTTTCATATGTACGCATACCTAAGCCGTATACATCTCGTCTTGCTTTTCGATTATTTTGTCTTTGTTTTTCTTTATATGTACGAGTTTTCGATGCATATTCAAACATGAACATACGTATGTGATCTTCAAGTTCATGGGAAATCATATTACAATTTCATTCAGATTAGATTGGTCAATTCTAGAAGAGTCCATTTGCAAATTTTATACAACTGCAGATAGCTAGAACAAATGCAAGGTTGAATTGAAAAAATATCTCACTTCTACCACGTCCTTCCCTACTATATGCCAATCAGTCTGAAGGAACTTAAACCAAATATTCAGTGCCCAACGCTGCACGGTTTGTTAAGTACGAGTCTAGTCTCTTTATGAAAGTTATATTTTTTTATTAATTTGAAGTAAATACACTATGGAGACGTAACTTTTTAAACTTAAGTTCTTTATGAAGAATAATATTATTTTAATTATTGAGGTCATTCAACGAAATTATAAAAGTTGTAGTTGTGTCCGAATCCCTTTAGGAAAATTTTGATGGGATAATGACTTGGAAAAAAATGACTCTGTTAAGATAACGTGAATGTTAAGGTACGAAAGGCGCAACATCTTTTTCATGTTGTACGTAAGCTGCACAACTTATGAAATTAAAAAATCGATGGGTCGTCTAGTTGTCTTTTAAATCATTTTACAATTCGGTCGACTTCCTTCGTGTACTATTCATTTTAGTCTATTTCTAAAATGATCTTCCAATAGCAATAAAAGGGAATTTTTTTTTTCAAAGACAATATCCCAACTATTTTGTCTTTTATCTTTGATAAAGAAAATTAAGGACTAAATCCATTAAATATTTTATATTATTAATAATAAAAAATGGATCCACAGATAAAGTATATTTTTTTTATTTTAATTAAATTGAGCAAGATTTAAATAAATAATTTGAGCATGGACAAATCTAGTGACAGCTCCATGCTTCTTTCACCCATTTATAATTTTTTTTAATATTTGTTGATAGAAAGTATTTGAAAGGAGTAGAGATCAAATTCTGTGCCTAACATAAAGAAACCAGTTCACTATCTTTCTACCTGATGTTCAGCGTCTTTACTTTATCATCTTCATGGAAATTTTACCATCTAATATAACTATTTATACCTTATCCCCCCTTGCTTACATTACCATCAGACAAAATCTTCAAAGAAATGGATTCGATCTCATCGTCTTCTTCGAATTCCGTTGTCATTGCAATGGTTTTAGCTTCGATCTTCGCACTTGTTCATTCGATAACGTTGAGATCGGACACCGAAGCTCTTCAAGCGCTGAGGCGTTCTATTGATCCCAACATGATTCCACCGTCGTCGTATATCAGCTCGTGGGATTTCTCGGTGGATCCAGTGATAGTACCGGCGCGAAATTCCTGGGGATTTTGTGTTCGAATCCGGAGATAACTTGACGAATCGTATTGTGTCGATCGAGCTTGATAATGCGGGATACGATGGTTTTTTAACACACAATATAGGGAACCTCACTGAGTTGACCTCGCTTGATCTCAGTAGGAACCAATTTAGAGGGCCGTTGCCGGATACGTTAAAGAATCTCAAGAAACTAACTACGCTTTCTCTTTCAGGGAATTTCTTCACAGGTGGTATTGCTGGATGGATCAATGGATTGAAGAACGTTGAATCAATAGACTTATCGGAAAACCTCCTTTCCGGTCCGATACCAATGAGGATTTCCGAGTTAAGAAGATTGACACGAATGAGCTTAGCGAACATGAATTTTCGGGGAGGATTCCGGACATTAATGGACTATGGAAATTGGATACATTAGACCTTGGATCCAACATGTTTGTTGGAAGTTTACCAAAGCTTCCGACAAAACTGAGATCTTTAACATTGTCCCATAATCAACTTGCAGGACATATTACAGAACTGGGGTCACTTAAAGAGCTGAGACATATTGATCTAAGTGATAACAAGTTCACAGGTTCCATTACTCGATCGATTCTCTCATTGCCGTCCTTGAATCAACTCAATGTTTCCTTCAATCAACTCACTTCGATCGAAGTGAACACTCATCTTGGAAGCGGTTCGCCGCTTCAGGTGCTGAACGCACAAGGAACCGGTTGCAGGGTCATCTGCCAGTGAGCCTGGTGAACTTTGAGAACTTGCAAGTGATCAACTTGGGCTACAATGGATTGACAGGTCGAATCCCATTGGCATACGGGCAGCGGTTGGGGAGGCCATGGAGAAGCTTGTTCCTAGACGATAACTTCTTATCGGGTCGGATACCGCGGCAGTTCAATAGCATGGCAACAGGATCAGTGGAAATCTTGCTAATAATTGCCTGAGTTGCCCGCTGACGATCCCGATTTGTGGCGGAGGGCAGAGGCCTGCTTCGGCTTGCATCGGCGAGATCGGCAACCAGTGATTAAAACAGTGATTCAGAGATGAAATAACGACAGAAAAGGAAAGTAGAATTTATGTCTCTACTGCAATCATTCAAAGATGAACACTATTGTTGAGCTTTCTCACTAAATAAATAGTTTATTTATGAATACAATAAACATGAAAATCAATAACTTCATTCGAGTTCATATACTAATGCTCATGAACAAAAACTCTTCGAATGTGGGAAAAAACAATGAAAAAATGCAAATAATAGAAGGCCTCTAAGGTGCATTGATTAAGGCAAGGGCATCGGCTTCAGGTTGGGAGTGCAGGGATGGCTCCCTTTTTGGTTTTGGTGATGGCTCCACATGCATTTGCAAATCTCAGTACTTCCCTTAATTTTGATTCATCCTGTGGAGAACAACGCTTTTCTTTTAGAACAAATTAAATTTTTAAAAAATAATTAAAAAATGTGAATATATTGTGTATCACCTCGAAGGATGGTAGGATCATCGACGATCTTGCATAGCAAAGCACCGACAAAGGAATCACCGGCACCGGTTGTGTCGACAGTATTTACATGGAATGCATTTACCGCCCCATGGAATTTCTGCAATTTCAATGCAAACAAGATCATTAAAGGATCATATCGAAAATAAAGCATACTATAAAGAGGCTGAAATTTAGCATACCTTGGTGTAGTATCGGCTACCCTTTTCACCTAGGGTGACCAAGAGCAGGGTGAAGTTGGGCGCCAAAGTTTCATGGCAGTTTCGTCGTCGACTTTGTCGCTACCGGTGAGGAACTCGAGCTCGACGTCGCTCACCTTGACGATATCTGCCTTATCCCAAATGGACAAAATCTGGTTCCTAGCCTCGTCGGCCGATGGCCAGAGTGGCAGGCGGAGATTTGGATCATATGAGAGCAATGCACCTGCTTCTTTGGCCACTTCCATTGCCTTCATATGAGCTGATCTGCATGGCTCTACAATCAAACTTATCGACCCATAGTGAAACACTTTGGCCTGCAAATAATATAAAATTACCCTTTATGATTTTTAATCATTCAGAAAACAGTATTAAAGATAAAAGGCCGGTCAAAGATTGCAAAATCGGCTTCCTTAATTATCGATTTGTTACAAAACAATAACATTAATCATTTTTTTACAAAACAATAACTTTTGTTACTCAAATTGTTTTGATAGGAAACTTCAGTATTGAAAAAGAAATTTACTCAAACTTAAGTGATCATTTATATAATTTACCCATAAAATTTTATTTAAGATATTTAGTTTGAATTTAAATGAAAAGGCAAGCATATTAAATTTCAGAGCTTAGATACTGTATCTCGGTCCCCTAATGAACAAAAGGTCTTCTAATATCAAAATATGACGCTCATAAATAGGCGCGTGAGAAACACGGATGTTTTTAAAGTCAACGTCGAAGTAGAACAAAAGGGAAAAAACGCAGTAAAGCAATGAAAGATCAGAGAAGAGAAGAAATCAACAGATTTGTTCATATGAAGTAAAAAATACGTAAAGATCACTCACAGATCTGATAAGATCAAGGTTCAATTCCTCCGGCTTCAACAGCATATCAGCGCTGGGATTCCTGTAGAACATGAACTCACGCTCGCCGTCGGCGCGTAGAGTAACGAAGGCAAGAGCAGTCCTAGCGCCTTGGTCAAACAAGATCCCGTCATCGGAGACTCCGTTTTGCTTGAGAATATCGGCCAGCATACGACCGAACTCGTCTTCTCCGAGTTTCCCGATAAAAGATGCTTTTCCGCCGAGTCTAGCGACGGCGATGGAAACGTTGGCGGGGGCTCCGCCGGGAGCTTTGAGGAAACCGGGAGCCCTCGGCTAGAGAAACGCCGGAGACGGTGGGGACGAAGTCGATCAGCATCTCACCGAAACTGACGATTAGGCTCTTGCCGGAAACAACGCCATTGGCTGCCATATCTTCGAAAAAGAGAGAATTTGATTGTGGAACAGAAGATATAGTATGAGAATATAGTATAAGAGAGTAATAGATGAAGAAGACGAATAAAGGAGAGGTTTATATAGGAAAAAAAATAATGGAGAAAAAACTGGAAATTTGATTTTAATATATGATTTGAGTTGCACTCAAATTGAAAAACTAGAAAATTTATTTTAATAATATGATTTTAATATATTTTAAATTTACATTATATGTCAACCGTCCTATTCAGAATCAAACTATTATACTAATTATGAAATTAAGTTTAAGGCTGAATTATTTATTTATTTTTATATTTTTATTTTGATTATTCAATTATTATTTTTCACAAATTAAACGATTTTGGTAGTAAAATAATAATTATTATATTCTGAAGTCTCGAGTTCGAATATCATGAATGTAAGAGGTATGAGCTTCAATGTCAAATGATTGAAAGTTATATTTGAACAAATATTATCTTATATTTTTCACTTATTAATAAAAAATATTATTTTTATATTCAAAATGAGAATTCAATATTGTTTAGTAATTTTATATTCAAAATTTATCAACTTGTTAATGTATTAGTGCTGGTAAATATTTTCTTATATAAAAAATGCTAATTTAGAAAGTAATTGGAAAATCAACCTTTAGACGTAATATTCTATTCTGACAAATATTCTAATAATAAGATTTTAATTTTATTAATATTAAAAAATTTACCAATAGAGATTGATTTAAGTGATAACCAATTTTATATCGCTTAAGCAATGTCTCGAGTTCAAAATCATTGTGTACCGAGAAAATCTTTGTCGGGAGACTCACTCACCAAAACTAGATGTGCAACACGGATCAGTTCGAATTAATCAAGACGAAACCTTGAAAATGAGAGGAAACTAAAAAAAATTATGGATAATCATTTCCCCCAATTAATCTAGAGTGGAACGAAAGCAACATTATATGGGTTAGATTAGAGAGATATCGTTGTTGAAAAAATATAAAAATAATGTTATTTAGGTTTTATTTAGGGGTTTACAGTAGTTTTTACGATGATTGATAAAATTTTCGATAATTATCAGTGATGTTACTTTAATTTTTTTTATATAATTTTAGAATTAAATTATAAAAAGATAAATGTTTGAAGATTAAAATGAAAGTTTTGAAATTGATCTTTTAAATGAAACAGCGAGTTTAAGAAAATTAATCATATTATTATTTGGACCAAATTGTAAGAAACTAAAATTATAGAGACCGAAAATGAGAAATTTTAGAAAGCTTAAATTGAAAGTGTACATTTTAAACTTATTTAGGGTTTAGAGTAGTTTTTATGATGATCGATAAAACTGTCAACAATTATCAGTAAAATAACAGGTACAAATTTATTTTTTAAAATAATGATTCATTATTGTATAAAAAATCAAATTTTAAGTCCGACGAGTTAAAAAATGAATTTAAAGATTTAAAATTATTAATAATAATTTTAAATTCAAAAATAAAAATTTAAATAAAAATTTTCAGGACGAAAATAATGGCAAAATGCCATTAACATTTTATCAAAGCGTAAAACTCAAAAAATTACAGAGTCAAAAAAATTTTGCTTCAATCGAACAGCAAAATATAAAAAAATTATGGTCTTTCAAAATTTTACATTACTTGTTGTTCAAACACCAAAATTTAATTTTTAAAAACGTTTTTTTTGGATAATCAATCAATTTGTTTTCATCCAAAGAAAGCAGCATGCTGCTACAAGAAACGTGTAAACAACTAGATAAGCCCCAAATCAGTACACATTTGACTATTTATAGTATCCAACCTATTTCTATTATATCTATACAGTTTGATTCTAACTGCCTCTTTAATAGTATTTACAATAGCATCAATCAATCCTCTAAAAATTATGTGATTGCGCTCTTCCCAAATGAAGTAAACATATCATGTCCATGCTAGTTTAAGAACATGAACTAACAATGACTTGCCTTTTAAATTCCTATTCAACCAGCACAACCAATCATCCCAGCTCAGACTTTGTTGTTGCAGTCCATAAGATTGCAGTATAGCATCCCATACCTCCCTCGAGTATGTGCATTCCGAGAAGAGGTGACTTCTCGATTCCAGCTCAACATCACAAAAACCACATCTAGCATCAGTCACCATAACAAAATGAGCAAGTCTCTCCTTAGTTGGCAACCTGTCAAGAATATCCATCTACGTAATCAAAGAAAACTTAGGGATGTGTGCAGGGAACTATATGAGTCGATGTCATTCAACTTTGTCATTCCTGTCCCGAATATTGTCCCATATCCAACCTCCTTTAGCTTGTGACCAGTTAACAGAAGCAGTAAACATACTTCTAGCCTCTTCACGCATCTTAATCAATTTCCTGATAGTCCAGCTGAAGTGAGGCTTGCTTTCAACACTCCAATAGTCTTCAAGCTTAAAACAGTAAGCCTTGATCCAGGTAATCCACATGGAGCCTTCACCAGCCAAGATGTTTTTAATAAGCATCAAGCATCACGTTTTGTTCCAACCTGCCAAGCTTCTTAGCCCCAAACCTCCCTATGATTTAAGTGAACAGATTTGACTCCAACTGACTCTAGTACCTTGAGCAGAGGAATCATTTCCCTTCTAAAAGAACCTCATACATAGTCTTTCAATATCCTAGATGACTCCCTTAGGTAGAATAAGCTGCCTATTTCAATTATTAAAGATACTAAACAAAACCACTTTAATAAGCTGCAACCTCCCCCTAAAACTCAGTTTCCTATTGAACCACTGCCTCAGATTGTCTTTGATCCTCTCTAACAAAGCTTTACAGTCTGTCCCAGAGAGTTTCCTGGTTACTAAAGGTACCCCCAAAGACCTTACAGGGAGTTGACCAACTACAAAGCTTGTTGCTCTCCTAATCTGCTCCAATTCACCCCCAGAAATTCCACAAGTATAAATCTCAGTCTTCAAAGCATTCAGCTTAAGCCCAGACAAATCATAAAATTTATCCAAAATGCTAAGCACCCGCATCACTGAATCCAAAGATCCATGACAAAACACTAACAAATCATCAACAAAGCATAAGTATGTAAGAGAGATCCTCTTACATCTTGGATGGAATCTGAATATTCCATTCCTGACAGCAACATCAAGCAAGTTTGAGAGAACATTCATGACCATTACAAATAGGTAAGGGGATAGTGGATCCCCTTGCCTAACACCTCTTGCACCTATAAAGTAACCTACTAGGCTACCATTCAAAGCTATTGAATACCTAGGAGATGTCACACAAGCTTTTATCCAATCACAGAATCTATTAGGAAGTCCCATATCACCAAGAACATTCAACAAAAATTCCCAGCTAATTGAATCAAATGCTTTCTACAGATCAACTTTGATTGCACACCTAGGGGAGAGGTTCTTCCTGGAATATCCTCTAACTATCTCTTGTGCTAACAATGTATTATCAACAATGCTTCTGCCTTAAGAAAAGCAGATTGGCTAGCAGAAATCATTCCAGGAAAAAACTGAGCTAGCCTAGTGACCAAGATTCTAGTGATTGTTTTGTAAACAACAGAACAACAGGAGATAGGCCTAAATTCCTTAGCCATACATGCATTCAAGAACTTTGGCACTAAGACTATAGTAGTGGCATTAAAGGCTGGTAAAAGGTAAGTGGTCTGGAAAAAATACCTCACTGCATTAAGGAAATCTTTATTAACAATTTCCCAAGCCACCTTGAAAAATCAAGAGGTGTACCCATCTGGGCCTGGGCTTTTATCCCTCCCCTGTCTAAACAAGGCATCCTTGATTTCCTTATCTGAGACCTCACCATCTAGGACTCTCTCAGAACCAGCAGGCAATGAATGGTTCAAAAGGTCTTTTAACCATTCAGGATGGCATCCCTTAACTAAAGGGTCAGCATCACCTATAAGTTTGTTGTAAAAATCCACCAGCTTTGCAGCCATACCATCAAATGTCTCTAGAAATTGCCCATTTTCATTCTTAAGTATTCTAATGGCGTTCTTCTTCTTTTGAGACTCAACCTTCTGGTGAAAAAACCTTGTGTTTAAATCTCTTTCCTACAGCCAGTGTACCTTAGCTCTCTGCCTGTAGAAATCTAATTATGCCATTTCCAGATCAACTAAATTAGTATGTACTTTCTTCTCCTCCTCCATCCCAGTTTGATTTACAACATCAAGGTTAGAGAGTTGAATATGTTCCAGTTCAGCTCTCTTAGCAGTTACCCTAGCAGAGATGTCAGAAAAATAAGTCCTTTTCAACTCCTTCAAAATTGGCTTCAATCTTTTCAATTTGTTAAACAACACATGCATAGCATTACCATCACTGTGTTCCAACCAGGAGACTTTTACACTGCTTAAAAAAATTCTCATTTGCAGTCCAACAATTAAAAACTTAAATGGTTTTGGCTTATGAATCTGAGCCTCTTTCTGAGTCCAAAATATCCCTAGATAGTGATCTGACACTCTAGGGGCCCTGTACTCAGCAAAGGAATCTGGAAATTCCAGCAGTCACTGAGGGTTGATTAGAATCCTATCCAGTTTCCTAGCCAAATAGGAACATTCTTACATACTGGACCAAGTGAATAGAGGTCCTACAAATGGATGATCTTGTAACTCCAAGTCCTCCATACAACCTTAGAGTTCTTTCGTGCCAGATGAAGAATGTGATCCCAGTGAGACATTGTCAGAACTCTCATGGACCTCAGCTATTACATTGAAATCCCCTCTAATTACCCAGGGATAAGTGCCTGCATCACTCTCCATATTTCTTAGGTATTCCCACAAACCCCTCCTTATTTGACTGTTGTTACTGCCATAGAATGCAGTAATCAGTACTCTGTGACCAGCAATATCACCTACAATGGAAAGGGCTTGGTCATACCCCCAGTCACAAAAAATGATAATCTCTTCTTTCACAGGATCCAAATTCTTCCTCCATCAGTGAAATCATAATTAGCCTCATGATTTCACTCATCTGATAAAGCAACAACCCACTTAGAAACATCAATTCTCCTAATTCTAGTCTCCATTAGACAGACTACATCTACCCCTAAGTTCTCTAATCTTTTGAATACTTTACCTTGCTTGAGGGTGTTGTTGATACCCCTCACATTCCAGAAACAAATAAAATTAAGCATAGAGAGGAGGGCCTCCGCTACCAGCCCCAACACTTGTGTCAATACCTTTAACCTTCTTAACCATATCCTTCTTCTTTACTTTAATCTCATTGAGTAGCATAGTGACTCATATAGCAGCTGCTCGAGGCTTTCAAGTGCCTTCATAACATCCACCACTTGCCAATATTTCCAATTTGGTTGAGGATCCAACAATTTCCTTTTTCATCCCCTTAACTTTCTTCTTAAGCACCATAGAGTCCTGCAGGGAAGGAAATTCACCACCAGCAGGAGGAACATCTTGAATACCACTAGGTTCTGCCATACCCCTTGCCAGCTGCTCAACTCCTACATCACTTACAATATGTTTCACCCCCTATCAGCCTGATCCAGCTTAGCCTGGCAAACATCAGTCACAAGTGTATCATCACTATTCTCTTGGAGGGCTTTTACAGTCATCTCCTCAGCATTACCAACCTTCAGCTCAGTCATTTTTGTACACTCGGTACTAACATCAAAATTAGCTGCATTAGGACAAACAGGTAAGCTAGTATGGCATGCTCCCTCCTTATCAGCCAGTATCTCCTTTCCAGTAAGCTTAACAGGATTAGGGATAATTTTCTTCCTCCAGATTTGAGTTTCCTTGCTCTTCAAAGGAACAGTGACTGCCTCAGCACATACATTTGAGGGGTCCCCAAAAGTTTTACAGTGTAAGAAAAATTTAGGCAGCCATGGTATATAAACCCTAATCCTCACTATAGATCCATCACTCAGCACCACATTGACCATCTCAGGAATTTCAGCACCTGCCCCGACCTCCACGCAGACCTTGGCATACTCAAGCCCCTCCTTAGATGCTGTGATGGCATCCATATATAGAGGATGACCCACAACACTTGCAATGTAACTTAGGCCCATCCTAGTGTAGAGCTCTAGGGGTACATTATACAATTGCACCCAAACCGAAATGTGCTTAAGATCAAAATCAAGTTTCTGTAAGCTTGGCTCCCATTTCCTCAGCACAAGCTGTTTGTTTTGCACATGTCAGGGCCCATTCTCTAGAATCCAGTCTCTCATCTCCTTGTTCGAGAAAGAAAAGACGTAGAGGTTTGAACCAACCATACTTACCTTGACAGTCGAAGCTTTCCCCCAAAGGACTTCAGCGATTCTCTGCATATAACCAAAATTTGGAGCCGCTCCTATGAATTGCCCCACCACCGCATGGCTCCATTCAGCAATCCCCTCATCAATCACTGCAGATGTAGGTTTGACCGTGGAAATCCCATCTGAGACCTCAGGCGGGAAGAAATTTAGGGATTGCTCCTCTGCTCCCCTAAACAACTTCCTCCAATCCAAATTCGAAGCTGTTGAATCCATAGACACCACCAAATCGATCGCAAGCACTCACAATCAGCAGAAAAGAAAAGGAATCAGCAGCGAAGAAGTAGCCCTGAAGACCCATTAGTCCTGCTAATGTGCGCTTAGAGAGAATTTTGTGTTTGCTAATTCCAATTAATAATAATTTTTAAAAATGTTTAATACCTAAATAAGTGCCTAAATTATACATCTTTTTCTGAATAGGTGCTTATAGTATTTTTTGGACCATTCAGGTCCCTAATGTTATAAGCGTGACAACTTTTAGGTGCTTGAGCAGTCAACGACGTTAATTTCCTTTATTAAGTGACACGTGTCACAATCTTATAATTTTAAAAATTTTATATAAAATTTTATATTTTTTTAAAATAAAAAATATAAATTTTGAAATAACCCAAAAACTTTGAAAACATTCATTTCAACCCTTAAACCCACACCGACCACTGCTCTTTGCCGTCGACGAAGTTTCACTAGACCTCACCTCCCCCGACGATCAAAACCGCTATGAAATCGTGACCGATCGACGGCGAATCGATGTTTTATACCCTGCGAAGCCTAGGATGAACATTGCGATTTCGATTGATTGAGGCTTTTTTGTAATTTAAAAGAAATTAGGATTTTTTTTTTATAAATATAATAATAATTATAATATTTAAAAAAATAAATTTCAAAATTAACAGATTGTAACACGTGTCACTTAATGGAGAAAACTAATGGTCGTTACGCCCCGGGCACCTAAAGTAGTCACGTTTGTAACATTAGGCATTTGGATGATCCAAAAAATAATGTAGGCACCTATTCACACAAAAATAATATATTTGGGCATTTATTTGGGTATTAAGCATTTTTAAAAACTAAGCAATTTCATTAGAACTAATTTATGAAAATTTCTATTTTAGTCCCCCATTTTATTTTCTTAGATTTGAACGACATCAAATCTCTCTCTCTTTCAACAACAATATTTCATTAATTGAACTCATCACGTGGATCCCATGGCATGCGATTCTTTTATTTTATATTTTAAAAATTAAAATAAAAAGTATAATTACAACACATGCCTTACATGTAGATAAAGACATCCTACATGTAGATAAATAAGGACTAAATTAGAAAAATACCGAAAAGGTAAAAAAGGGAATATTACTTTGTACAGAATTATGGAAATTTTATTTTCATTTATAATTTCATAGCAGCTTAATTAAGCATGATTTCTTTTTTCCCACTTTTTTTTTTGTAAAATTTAGTTTCCATACATTCATTTGTAAATTTTATTAGTTGAAGTTTCATTGTCTCCTACCAGCAAGCAACAAATATTTTCTTGTTTTTCTGACTCTATTTGTTTGATTCGAATCAAATTGAATTCAAGATTTAATATTTTTCTTCAAACCAAATTGATTTGAAATATTAAATATCCTTTAAAAGTACACTCTTCCTATTTTTTTAAGTAGATGAACCAATTTGAATTAGTCTCTATAATAAAAGAAATAATTTTAACCATTGTCATAAAGGGACTAAATTGATGTAATCTCTATAATAAAGGGACTTGAAAAGTACTTTCACCTATGACCTAACCTTAAATTATGGAAGTTATAAAGTATGATTTAAGTTCTATAGAGATGGAGGATTGGGAATCCTTACCGGCTTACCCTACCTTTTAAAGGAAAGATTGGGCATTAGGTAAACACTTTAATTCCTCCTCTTTTTCTTCTTTTGATATCAGATTAATATTTAGGGTGAACTATACATTTAATACTTAAACTATTACTTTTGTTCAATTTTGATACTTAAACTTTTTTTTTTAAATCATACCTAACGTTTAGTACCTAAAGTTTTATAATATATCAGGAACATGCTAACGTCCAGCTCAAATAATCCTCAAATTTTTAACGGAAGAAGATGAGTTTGAAACATATGAATAGTCAAGTGATCACTTTGTAACTTTTAATAGTCGGTGGAGTCAACAAAACAATACCCCATAGTTAGGAGATCATTTTATAGCTTTTAATAATCTTGTGACTCAATAAAGTAGTATCGTATAATCGGAAAACTATTTGTGTACTTTACTCATATATTAAAGGTTTATAACCATGAATACTGACAGAGAAAGAAGACGATAATACATAAAGAGAAAATCTTGAAACTCAAACTAAGCTAACCGGTTTTCATATTAACAGATTCTAACAAATGCAGTAAAGTGACAAAAATCAAGTTCTTTATAACTTCAAACACAGTTAAGATTTAATGTAACACCCTTAACTCGTACCTGACCCGAATACGAGTCTGAGGGGTCACATTAACTTTTCAAACTTTGACTCTTGACAAAATTCAAAGAAAATTTAAACTTTCATTAAAATAAAAGCGGTTTATTTACATAAATTGACCAAAATCGATCAGAGCATATTCAAATCAATCAATTAGTACATGCCAACTATAATCAAAATAACCAAACACATTTAAATAATCTATTTTCTGATCTGAAATTTTGTAAGGGAGATGCTGACCTGACTTGCTCTTCTTCGTTTCTTTTCTCGCTTCTATAACCTACGTGTGAAACAATCACACGCTAAGTATATGACTTAGTGAGGCATTAAACTTATAAAGGAAACTCTAAATGCTTAAACATGTATGAACATATCACTTCATGATGTCACACAATCATTCTATATAACATAATGTACACATATACACATCACACATTATTTCCATCATAATCTTATTGTATTATCCATACCATTATCATTTATATCCATCATATAATACAATTCATATCACAAAAGCATATACTTTACATGTAATATATATATTTATTGTTATATCTTTGTTAGCCCATATACATCTGTGAGAACTGTAGATATGTGAGTCTATTGAGGTTGTGCACTATGTTGTCACCACAGCTCGTAAGGGATCCCACTAGGGGCTATGAAATTTTGTCCCGAAGGACCACTATGAAATATCTCGAAGGATCACTGTATGTCTCGAAGGACCACGTAGACCCTCGACTCTTGGCATGCCAACTATACATATAGCTCTCGTATCATATAACATGAGCATTTTCACTTTATCATTTCACATGTACACTTTCATATCACATGTCATATAAGCTCATAGCTTCTTTCACATATACATGTAGTCACATAGGTTCTTTTCATATTCTCATAGGATCACATAGCTCATATCTTATACTTTATTTTCTCATGTTCACATATATCATGTCATATGGCTCATATCTTTCTCATGCAGTCATATAGTTCAGATTTCACATATGTTCATATATATACATCACATAGCACATACTTCTCATATCATTACATTCAAAAGCATGTTAACACATATAATCATGCATACATACAATTAATGTCATGCATATACGTATAATCATATATTCATGCATTCTAACATAGAAAATAGACTTGTCACAAGTCTTGTTTCCATTTAGCACCATAAACTAACTAATATGCACTCACCTTGGCCTCACTTACTATCAATTACTCCTATGACTTTCTTTCTCTTCTGGATCAATTCTAATCTTTCAATCATTCCGGAACTTGCTCTCAATCGATATCTACACAATCATATATTTATACTATCAGTATCTAATTGATATACTCTAATCTATCATTTCTTAGACCAAAAGAAAGGTATAATTCTATTTTCCCCTTGAAGTGCATTGATACATTCTACAGTGAATCGATGCATTCTTTAAAATGTGCATCGATGCACTACCCATGCATCGATACACAAATCACCTTCGATGTTTTCATTTTAAGGGGTGCATCGATGCACTAACTGTGCATCGGTACACTCAAAGCATTCGATGTTTCTTCTTTAAAGAGTGCATCGGTACACATTGAATGTTCATTGATACACTTTGCCCAGAATTTGTAGTTTACGCCCGAAAAACATCAACTCTTCATCAATTCTTATATTTTAGGCCCATATCATGTCATTAAACTCAACTACCATTACTTAAACCAACTTGTATTCATATAAACCATCTCTATTTTCCATATCTCATCATGATTCTTAAAATTAAGAAACTTACTAAACTTTCAACTTTGTTATTAATCCTTTCTAACTTTATAAATCTCTTATTCTTAGTGATGACAAGTCAAATTCCTTCTCAAATTTCACTTATTAACTCTTTCCCAGAAAATCATCTGAAAACTCATTTTCTTTAATCTCTTCTATATCTTTCATCTTGTTGTTTTAGAACAAATTAAGCTTTCCTTAAGCTTAATTATCATCTAATGATCATAACCCAACCTTAAAATCAACAATTAATCAACAAACAAAGAAACTCACCTTTTGAGCTTGGAGATACGGGAGGAGGAAGAGGAAGAAGAAGAAAGAAAACTTCTGGAGAATTCTCTCATTTCCCACGTGGTTCCTTTATCTTATAAAGGAAAATAAAAATCTTACTTGTCAATTGACCATTTTACCCTTTAATTCATTCAATAATTACCAAACAACCTTCAACTATATTTCCAATAAATCATTGAGCTATTCAATTATTCTACTTTAATCACCAGATTCCAAAATATTTCAATTTGGTCACTAACCCGGTATTGAGGATGTTACATTTAATGTTTCCAATTCATTACAATACTTAAAATCGAGTGTATGTGTTGGATATGGGTATTTATATCATATTCGAATACGTTTAACTTTTTTCTTTTTAAGTTTTTCAAGTATTCAAAGGATCTTTAATGATTATATCTTATAAAATTTTCAAATTCTTCTATATTTTAATATTTTTTTGTATTTTTTATTAATAATATGTTTTCATCTCCTAAAATTTTATAAGTTTTATCTCATTTTCATAGTATCTTACGTCAGTCCGTGATTATATCCTTAAACCTTGATTGATATTGAGATGGACATTGATGTCAAACACGAATACTTCAACAAAATGAAGGATCGAGCAACAACTGAATTCCAGCATTCCAAATGCAACAAATTATATTAAATAAGGTTTATACTATATTAAATCCATCGAGTGGCATCGGTGATTAAAAAGAATGATGTTTTTTTTAGAAGTTTTGGATTCAAATAAATGTATCAATTGTTAAGAAAGATTTTGAATGTGTTATCTTGTAAATTGTAATATTAAGCCAATAATTAGTGCATAATATTGATCTTTTGTGAATTCTTACAATCACATAGAGTAAATGGAAGTAGATCACATCATAATCGTCCCACAACAATAGAAGCTTATTCGTCACAAGTAAACAGTGACCAAATGTTAGGCAGTGCAATAAGCTTTAAGACCGTACCCAAGAGCTTGAGATTTAGTAGCAGGTTGGGCTATTTGAGTGGAGTGAAATTTCATGAACTCTTCGTAGTCAAAGGGTTTGAAGAGCATGGGATTGTTGTCATCGACGAGCTCGTTCGGTGTCTTTACGAGGTAGCCTCCTCTCAGCCTTGCAAACAATCCCAGGCTATACCTAGCCATGTTTCCCTTCATCGTAACCTGATGATAAGGCGAAGACAATCCACCATTTAACCATACCTGCAATCACAGACAAATACATGATTTTATATTAACGGAATAATGTGTAAAAAAACAAATCATTTGTGATATCATAGTGACCTACACTGAAAGACTCTCCGATCATGACTATGAAAGAGTTGGGCGAAAGCTTGACGTCCATCCACTCGCCATCTTTGTTTTGAATCTCAAGACCATTAACCTCGTTTTGATACAAAAGAGTCATCATGTTCGAGTCACGGTGCGCCGGAATCCCGAATGTCGGACCGCTGCTTTCTGGTCTTCTATATTTCATGACCCTCAGCTGATAATTTGTGGACTCAGTGAGCTCATCCATGTATTTCTCGACGCCAAAACTCTCCAAAATCATCCTCATGATCGTCGTTTCTAATTTTGACGCTAGCTGAGTAAAAGATACCAGTGTTTTGCTGCCAAATCAAGACCAAATGATTAATAACATCAATCAATTTTCGCTCGATTCGATTGAATAATCGTTCAGAGTTCTATAAGTACCTGAAGTTTATGTTCCCTTGAGGCCACAAAATGGTAGTGAGGCGTTGTTCAATGTTTTCAGCAATATGTGCATCATCAGTCGACATGCTTTCGACCACTCCCGATGGAGACCCATTATAGCCACGAAAGGGTTTCTCCGAAGCACAAAGCTTTTTGGTCTGAAACGGCAAGTCGAAAAGCTCTTCCAAGGCTCCGAATATTGATTCTCGAAGCGCCATCACTTCGTCAAACGAGGCCTCGAAACAACCATACTCCGTCAAAGCTTCCCGAACTCGGGACTTCACCGAATCCCATTCGGGGCTGCCCAGTTTAAGGTCTTGCTTGGAGAAATCTATAACTGGAACCATATCCGGAGTTGCTCTTGAATTTACAACTATGAATGCTTGATTTTTATACCTGAATGGCACCTTTATATATACAATCTATGAGGCTTAATAGCGCATTGTAAGCATCACCGTGAAAGGTTTGATTATAATTTTAAATCAACATCATTTTGCTTTGGATTAATGTGAATTTCTGTTATCCTATTCTTTTCACTTGACACGACGATGATAGTGATGATAATAATAATTATCAAATAAAACAGACTATTTTAGGGTTAAACGTCACAGCTGGCGTAGCCCTTTAAAAGAATTGGGCAGATGCCAACAGCCACCGCTAGGGGTGTAAACGAGCCGAATCAAACTCGAGTATTGCCGAACTCAACTCAAACTCAAAAACATTAAACGTAAACTCGACTCGACTCAAAAACTCACGAACCTAAAATGTTCAAATTCGACTCAAACTCAAAAAAAAATATTGAAACTCAACTCGAACTCGAAAAAACTCAAACTCAAAAAAATTTAAAAGCTCGATTAAAGCTCAAGACTCAAGCTCGATTGGAACTCAATTTTAAGCTCAATTCAAGCTCAATTTTGAGCTCAAGTCAAGCTCAAGACTGCTAACAACACGACTCCGTAAATTTAACCATTGAGTTAGCGCTTTAATTTATAGACTCACTTGTGAAGCACATGCTTCTATCTTAAAGATGTGGGATTCTTGTCTTTCCTGCTTCTCTGACCCTTCTCCAGCAAACTCCCATCTTCTGCTAAATATACTATCTATTTTCCATCCTTTCATCGTGTCCTTTAAAGTCTACTCCGTCAATCCTCCAGTAATTGAAGCATTTCTTCCTAAAATAATAAGGAATTTGTGTAGGTGAAAACAAGAGTTGAACCAGCTGATGAGTGGTAGAGCTGCTTCTTCATCATTGCTTGTTCAAATGGATCCTGCTGAGTCACCAATTCACCACTCTCACGCCACCTGCGCACTATTTAGTTTCATATTTTTAATTTCTCAATTTTCATTTTCACTTTCCTTTTTTTTTTCTCTGTTTTGGGTGAATGTAAGTATTGGATAATTTTTGGTAAAAGTAATTAAATTGATATTTTATTATTTTAAATTAAATTAAATATTCTTATATAAATTGAGTAAAATAAATATTTTTATTTATATAATGCCTAGAATTTATTATTTTGGAATAATTTTATTTTTTAATTTAAACTTTTATTTTGTTTTTAAGTTTTAACGAATTTTTAAGAATAGTATACAATCTTTTTTAAGATTTTAAATATTTTTTATAATTTTTGTTGAGAAGGAATAATTTATATATATTTAAACTATCAGAGATTTAAGTGATATTTGTAAAAATTCATAAATTTAAGTTGTAAAATTCATCCGGACTCAAGTTTTAAAAATTAGAAAATTTGAATTGAAAAAAAATAACTTAAATAAATCAATTTTTATTACTGATGTTATTGATTGTGAGAAAATTAGGGTTCTGTCAAGTAAACATTTAAGATATTTGAGTTCAACTTGATGTTATTTTTAATTAGGGGTAAATTAGCTTTAGGCCCTCTAGATTTATGTGTTTTGTACAAAACAGTCCCTCATTTGTTTAAATTTTCTTATTTGTTTTAAATGTTCAGGTGTCATTTATTTTGCTTAAATTAGTCCTCACATTTAGGTTTCTCTTAATTTAGTCTCTGTTTAGGATTGTTTTCTTTAATTAGTTGTGTATATTTATTTTGCATATTGATATGTTTATGTATAAGTATGTGAATGATTTATTTAGGAGTCACATAACATCATTTTGCATAATTTGTATGTTACCTTAATGTGTATAACTTAAACCCTAAACCATATCACATAATTAAAAGGAATGAGATGGCTTAGTGAAAGGAGAGAGGATAGTCTTGTTTTTCTTTTGCTTTCTGAAGAACAAAAATCTAATAAGAAGCTGTAGTCTTTTTTATCTCTGCTCCTCTTCTCTTCTCAGTCTTCTCTTTATTTACTGTTTCGATTTTCCAACTCTGCAATTATTACTTTTTTTTCATAGTAGAATATAGTAATGCATATATATCTGTCTTGTTTTACTTTATATGATACATGTTAGTAGTAGGGATGATCATTTTCTCTCAAATATGATTTGATGCCATTAATTTTGTTAATTAAGATATTAATGTAAGTTTAAATGAGTTTTTTCTTTCTTAATTCTTTATAAAATCGGTTACACTCTATTTTGATATATATATTTTAAATTATTAATATTTAAATTGAATCATATTTTTATTATATTATATTATATTATATTTATTGTCAAATAAAAAATTAGTTATGAGGTAAGTACAATATAATATTTTGATATTAAATGTTCAAATCCTTGATATTTACAATATTTGAACCCGAAACCTCAAAATATAACAATAATTTAAAAAATTAGTTATTAAAAATATTATCATTAGAAATATATTAAATATTTGTCATTAGATAAATAATTTTAATATATTAAAATTAAAATTTGAGGGTAGTTGTATTATAGAATTTTTAATATATTTTTAAAATTTTATAATTATCAATAATGTATTTTTAATAATGTAATTTTAAAAAATCTAAAATTATAATATAACATTTTTTCGAGCTGCTCACGAGCTTTTCGAGTCGAATATCGAGTAGCTCGTTTCGGCTCGTTAAGAACTCGAGTCGAGCTCGAGTCCATTCGATCCGAGTATTTATCGAGCCTTGATCGAGTCGATCTCGAGTGGCTCGCGATCTGTCTCGTCTCATTTACAGCCCTAGCCACCGCGGCCACAGCTACCCATTGCAAAGGACGGTACACATACTTGAAAAGGGATATAAAAAAGCATCAACCCACAAGCTATTGCAAAAGGACTTGGCCATTTCTTTTGGTACTTTATCTCCCATGTGTTACCACATTCGCTTCCAGCCTTGCTTGGTTTAAAGCCTTTACTGTTAACATCTAGTTACAAAGTTGAGACCAATATTGTTGCTGTGGTGGCCTAGAAATCATGATTAGTTACAAAGTTGAGATGGAGCAAACTAGCAACATCCAGGGTTTCTACATGGATTTGTTGGTGGAGAAGAAGACCAAAGGGGTAAATTGATAATTTATCCCTAAATTATTTTGGATTTACAAAAAGGCATATATTAGTATTTCATCTAAAGTTTAAGGGCTAAAATAAAAATTAAATCTTTTTACTAACATGACACGTCATCAACTAAACGAGATTCAACGTCCCAGTGATCAAAATTTAATTTTTTTTTATTTTGATGACTAAAAGTATATAAATATAAATGTAAGTGACGATTTCAATAGTTTACCCTAATTTTTATTTAAGTAATTATGTTTGTTTCTGAGGAATTGTTTTATAATAAAATAGTAGAATTAAGAACATATTTTATCTAATTTTGTGAAAGATTTTAATAGAGACCAAGAATAATTTTTAATTTATTAATTGGAATTTTACATTTAGTTATTATCATCTCTGAGATGAACATTTGCAATTTGTAAATTATTGGGAATGATGATTAAAAATATATTCTTCAATACAATGTATATATGTATTAAACATATGTGATCTTATTCAATTTATTGACTTGTAACACCTTGAATATCATGTTAGCAATTTTAGGTAATTGGACTTAAGGTGATTATAATGGACCATCATTAAGTGTGGGTCAAGTCTGGGATTAGTTTGAGATAGTATTGAGCCCAAAAGATATTAAAAAGGGTATTTTTAATTTTTGGTCAAGGGACGAGAAATTAAATTGGTAATTATCCCATTGTTTGAAAATAAGGTTGATTTCCCTTTACAAGGCATATGTCACATGTTGAGAAGGGGAAACTTTTCCTTTGTCTTCTTCGTCGTCTTTCTCTTATTCATCCCTTCATTCCATCTCCTCATAAGTTCACCAAATGAATTGATTTTAGTGTCCTCTCAGAATTTACAAAGGTAAGATTTTTAATCTCCTCCTCTAGAGCTTCAATTCAAGCATATCATATTTAAGTTTGGCAAAGGTTGCCATGGTAGAGGTTGGTTTTGGGTTTTAGGGCTCTAGGACGATTCTATTTCATTTTTAGGAGTGGGGAATCATGTTTATATTCTTTTTAAGTCCTTAAGTAAGGTAGTAATTTTTTCCCTTGCTTTTGATTAATGAAAGAAGTTGGAGAAAACTCCAAAAGCAAGAACAAGAAGTTTGTGCTTAGGTGACCTTGAGTTGTTTTCCAACAAGTAGGATTAAGGCAACACACTCCTAACTTGTCTATAATGCTTGTATATCATTATGTGTAAGATTGTTTGCTTGTACGAGTGCATGAGTGCATTATGAGTTACTTGTGATTTATGAGGGAAATGGGGTGTTTTGTTGTTTCTAATGCATTAAAATGACATTATGATGCTCTTAAACTCCCATAAGCTTTAAATAACGTTTAAGGGTCTTAGGAAGGCTTTGAGTATGGGAGGAGATATTTTTTCGAGTGGAAAAAAAGTTTTATGGGTTTTAGATATCGGTACTGGATGAATAGTATCAATATTATTCGTATGATAGGCTAAAATCAAGGGATTTTGGTGAGGTAGTATCGATATTCTGTTCATAGGGTATCGATATTGTTCATAGGGTATTGATACCTAAGTGTTGTATATCTATAACAACACTCAATTGTAGATTCCAGTAGCCAAATTTGACATCGATACTTGGGGAGTATCGATACCACTCCAAGAGGTAGTACTGATATCCTAGGAAAGGGTATCAATACTGACTTAAATTTCAAAACATCAAACCTAAATTTGGTATCGATACCCTAATATAAAAGTATCGATACTCCATATAGGGGTATCGATACTACCAGAACTTCTCAAATTCCAAAATGCAAATTTGGTATCAGTACCAAGGGTGGGTACTAATATTGAAAGGTCGATATCGATACTAAAGGGCTTAGTGTCGATATCAATACTAAAGGGCTTAGTATAGATACCATCATGCTGAGTTGGACAAAAAGCCTAACTTTTAGATAATAGCTCGAGAAG